TATATATATATATGATTAAAGAAATGCTGTGTCTAAATCTTTGTGACATCTGCAAAGTGCCAGTCTCCTTATACTCTAGTTAACAATTCTTCTCCATTTTGGTGCACTAACTCACACCAGTCCAAACATACAGGTGAAACTCGAATAATTAGAATATCGTGCAAAAGTAATTGCAGCAAGTGCTGCAAAAGGGGCCCAAACCAAGTACTGAGTACATATGCATGTTTGTACTTTTCAGAGGTCCGATATTGTTCTATGTACAATCCTTGTTTTATTGATTGCATGTAATAATCTACTTTTTTGAGGTTGTGGATTTGGGGTTCTTGGGGTTTTCATGAGCTGTAAGCCATAATCATCACAATTATGACAAATCACGGCTTGAATTATCTTGCTTTGCATGTAATGAGTCTATCTCATATATTAGTTTCACCTTTTAAGTTGCATTAGTGAAATAAATGAACTTTGCATGATATTCTAATTATTCGAGTTTCACCTGTATATAGTCACAGAAGATGGACACATTTTTCTAATTGGAAAAATATGTAAATTCTGGGTGAAAACATTTATAAATAGAACCCTCTAATATCCAAATGCTAATTTTAAAACATGTTGTCCTTGTTTACAGTTCCACCATTTGCAATTTTTTTTCTAATAAATATTCTAAGAAATAAAATTCAAACCTATATCTCGACGCTGCAGAGTTTTCCTCTTGTTACGTTGGGCATACACATGTGCATCTTTAGCAATTGTTTGTATTAATATTTCCTGTGAAGACAAGAAAAAAGTATTTACTAATATGCATGAAGTTTTTGTAACTGTAATCAGTTTTACCCATTCCATATTCGCTTGATCATACCTTGCTTTGTTCACACAGACCCCAGATGAAGATAAGCCAAGCATCGACTGCCACAGCCTGTGGAGGCCAAGTATCTGATTTGCAGGGCATGGCTCCTAAACCTGGCTAAGCCCCACAAAAGCATTTTGCCAAAAGTGCCATTTTCGGCCGATATGTTTCAGCGGCCGATATATCGGTGCATCCCTACTTCTATCCACAATGTTTAGCGTGAATGGGGGAATCAAATGATTTCTCGAGAGAATTCGAACAGTGTGTGGCTAGACTAAATCTAACACTGAAGATATACCGCGATAAGCCATAACATTATGACCACCCACATAATATGGAGTAGGACCCCCTTTTAATGCCAAAACAGCTCTGACCCGTCAAGACATGGACTTCACTACACCTCTGAATGTATGCTGTGATATCGGTCACCAAGCCTCCAGTAGCAGATCCTTTAAGGCCTGTAAGTTGCGAGGTGGGGACTCCATGGATCGGACTTAATTTCTAGCATATCCCACAGATGCTCGATTGGATTGAGGTATGGAGAGTCTCGTAGTACACCTCAAACCATTCTTGGCCCATTTTTGCAGTGTGCATTATCCTGGTGAAAGAGGCCACTGCCTCTTGAACAGATGTACTTGGTCAAAAGCGTTTAGGTAGGCGATACATATCAAAAGTAAGAACCACGTGAATGGCAAGACCCAAGGTTTCCCAGCAGAACATTGCCCAAAGCATCACACTGTCTCTGCTGGCTTGCCTTCTTCCCATAGTGCATCCTGGTTCCATCTCGGTTCCATCTCTTTTCCACAAAAGCAACACACACACAACCTGCCACCCACACGATGTAAAGAAAATGTGATCGGACCAAGCCACCTACTTCCATTGCTCTATGGTCCAGTTCTGATGCTCAATCACACATTTTAGGTGCTTTTGGTGGTGGACAGAGGTCCACATGGACACCCTGACCAGTCTGTAGCTACACAGCCCCATACTCCATAAACCGCAATGCACGGTGTGTTCAGACACATTTCTAGTAAAACCAGCATGATCATTTTCAGCAATTTGAGCTAGAGTTGACCTTTTATTTGATCAAACTACACAGGCCAGCCTTAACTCCCCATGTGCATGAATAAGCCTTGGCCGCCCCTGACCCTGTCCTGGTTCATCTTCCTTGGACCACTTTCGGGAGGTCCTGATCAATGCAGACTGAGATCATCTCATAAGAGCTGCAGTTTTGAAATTGCTCTGACCCAATCATCACATTTTGGCCCTAGTCAAAGTCACTCATATCATTACGCGTGCCCTTTTTTTCTGTTCCAACACATCAACTTCGGGACAAAAATGTTCACTTGCTACCCAATATATCCCACCTACTTCCAGGTGCATTGTAAATGAGATAATCAATATAATTCACTTCACCTTTAAGTGGTCATAATGTTATGATGATGGCTAATCACATACAGCTCTGTGGCTGTACCACTCTACCCCGCTTCATGTACACTTCCTCACTGGGACCTGCTGTCATCAAACAGCTAGGGTCCAGAGACAAATCTGGATCCCGAGACAAATCTGGATCCCAACAGAGATGATCCAAATTGGCTGCAACGGCAATAACTGTTATAGTTATTCAAGTTCCTTCAGAGGTAGCTATGGGTATGTGGAAGGCAGCTAAAAAGGTCTTGTAGGCCCCATCTTCCACAGTTGTACAGGCTCCTCTCCTCTACTAAAATTTCTTACTATGGGAAGGTTAAAGTGTCTTTCCACTTTTGCAGCTAAAATAGAGGAAACCCTACTATATGTTATATGCTCCTATTCACACAGCATATCCAAAAATTTTAAACAAAATATATATAAAATAAGTAGTTGATCCCCTACCAACCAACAATAATTCTGACTCCCACAGACTGGCTATGTGGTACACAGATTAGTCCTGTCAATTTAGGAAGGAGCTCCTAACGACAACTCGTTATATATTATTTACACCTGTCCACAGAATCTTTCTTCCATTCAAACCTCACCACCATGGGCAAGACCAAAGACCCAGATAGCAAGGATAACTTGCCACAAACTTGTGATAGGGTTAAATTGTAATTCTTGTTAACTTGCCGCACACATTCCTGGCAAGTTGTAGACTTGCAGAACACTCGCAGCACAAGTTCTAGTTGACACTTTTTGAATTTGTAGCAAATTTGCTTGGAAAGTCTACAGCAAGAGTCCTGCAGGTCTTAGCAAGAGCTCTGCAAGCTCACTTGTCTGGAGACTTGCAATGTAGACTTGCTGTAATTGTGCAACAAAATTGTGAAGCTTGGCAATAGTTTAGCAAGTCATTTTCAAACTTGCAGCACAATTTCTTGCTATCTGGGAAGCTGTCAAAGGACATTAGGGACAAGATTGTAGACCTGCAGAAGGCTGGAATGGGCTACAAGACTATCAGCAAGAAGCTTGGCGAGAAGGAAACGACTGTTGGATCGATTCACAAAAATGGAAGGAATACAAAATAACCAATTGCCCTCGGTCTGGAGCTCCATGCAAGGTTTCGCCTCATGGGGTAAGGATGATCATGAGAAAAGTGAGGGATAGGCACAGAACTACACGGGAGGAGCTTGTTAATAATCTCAAGGCAGTTGGGACCACAGTCACCAAACAAACATTGGTAAACACAATACACCGCCATGGGTTGAGATCCTGCAGCGCCCACAAGGCCACCCTCCTCAAGAAGGCAAATGTACAGGCCCATCTGAAGTTTGCAGCACTTTCTCCTCATCATTTAAATGTTCATTGGCAGTCAGATGACACCAAAATTGAGCTCTTTGGCGTTAACCCAATTCGCTGTGTTTGAAGAAAAATGCTGACTATGACTCTAAGAACACCATCCCTACAGTCAAGCACGGAGGTGGAAACATTATGCTTTGGGGCTGTTTCTCTGCTAAAAGGTACAGGCTGACTTTGCCACATTGAGGGGCCAATGGATGGGGCCATGTATTGTAAAATCTTGGATGAGAACCTCCTTCCCTCAGCCAGAACACTTAACATGGGTCTTTCAGCATGACAATGACCCAAAACATAACACCAAGGCAACAAAGCAGTGGCTCAAGAAGAAGCACATTAGGGTCATGGAGTAGCCTAGCCAGTCTCCAGACCTTAATCACTAATGAAAATTTATGGAGGGAGCTGAAACTTCGAGTTGCCAAGCAACAGCCAAGAAACCTTAAGGATTTAGAAAAGATTGGACAAGAGTGGACAAAAATCCCTCCCTGAGATGTGTGCAAACCTGGTAACCAACTACAAGAAATGTCTTACCTCTGTGCTTGCCAACAAGGGTTTCTCCACAAAGTACTAAGTCATGTTTTGCTTGGGGATCAAATACTTCTTTTACTCACTGAACTGCAACTCAATTAATAACATTTGAATTGTGGGTTTTTTTGGATTTTTGGTTGATATTCTGTCTCTATCATTTAAAATACACCCATGATAAAAATTATAGACCATTTCTTTTAAAGTGGGCAAACTTACAAAGTCTGCAGGGGATCAAATAACACATTTCCCTGTGTTTGAGTAGCAGGCCTTTGCAAGCTTCTCTCTAAATTTAAGGAACAAGAAAACTGACTTTTGTAATAGAAACATTAAGGACATACAAGAGGGCCCCTCATTAACATACAATGGGAAGGAATTTATCAAAACTGGAGCAGGAAAAAAGCTGGAGCAGCTGTGCATGGCAACCAATCAGCTCTTCAGTTTGTTCAGTTAAAGTGACACCCTCAGATTTTTTAACATAAAACAATACTGTAATGTGTGCCTTACTGTAATCCATTATTATTTCCCTTCTCTTTGCTGGTCTTCCTTTTAAATCCGTATCTTTTCTCATGCTGGGCAGAACTTCTGTTTTGCAGCAGATTGCCTTGTCTCTGAAATGGATACATGGTGTCTGTGTGTAGGTTTGCAACCTGAGCCAGCACTACAGGAAGAGGCACTCTGCAAAGGGAAGTTCTCCCCAAGCATGAGAAGACATGAGGATTTAAAAAGAAGAGCAGCAAAGAGAAGGGAAACAACCATGGATTACAGTAAGGCACACATTACAGTATTGGTTTATGTTAAAAAATCTGAGGGTTAAATGTCACTTTAAGCTTCGAAAATAAAAGATAGAAGCCCATTGGTTGCCATGCACAGCTGCTCCAGATTATGATAAATTCCCCCCAAAGTGATGATGAAATGCCAGCACAGTACAGGCAGAGAGAACTTGGCAGGATTTTTCAGTCCTACAAAAACATCATCTCATAAAAAGGTATTCTGCAATTAGTTCTGCTATGTGAATGGAAACTAGGGCTGCAACAACTAATCAATTAAATTGATAATGAGAATCGTTGCCAACGATTCTCATTAACGATTAGTTGTTTTTCGATTAGTTGCAGCCGCCGCTCTGCTCTGCCCTGTTCTCCTCCCCGCTGGTGCTGGCTGCAGCAGTCTATATTTTTTTTTCGCTCAGTGTCTCCTCTTTCCTGGCCTGTTCCTCCTCTGTGCCGGCCAGTTCCACCTCAACCTCCTCTGCAGCTAGAGGCTGGGAAACATACCCAGTCTGCTATTGGATATTTTAAACTTTCTCCTTCATGTCCCTCCTCTGCTGATTGACAGCAGGCAGTGGGCAGGTGCAATAGCCAGCCCGCTATTGCAATTTGAAATATCCAATAGCAGGCTGGCTATTGCTCCCAGCAATAAAGTAAAAAAAAAAAAAAGAGAAGTTAAATAAACTAAAATAA